CGTTTTCCCTGGGGCTACCTGGCCGGTCCGCAGTGCTGCTGCCTAAAGGACAATTTGCAATGTCAGGGCGGCTTTTCTTTCAGTCCCAAATTTTGGCTGCGGTTCCGGTGACTGCTGGCTGCAAGCTGTAATTTTCTAAATTTATATATCATTTATTTTTTTTCTTTCGCATCTGCAGGCAGGCAAACCAAAGAAAACGGCGTCTTGTCCTCCGTTTCTGCTCTCGTTTGGGATTTGATTTGCATCATCTCTGAGCCCGTTTAGAGAGAGAAAAAAAAAAAAAACCAGAAAGAGAAGGCGAACCAAGCCCACACAAAACATGCTGTGCGGAAGGACTTCCACTCCCTGGCTGTGCCATTAACGTTAGCAATCAGGAAGAGCCTTTGGGGGCTGCAGGATCTCTTCGCCAGTCTGATGCTGCTGCTCAAGGTTTTGGTGCAGGGAGACAAAACTGCTGCCTCTTCCATCCACTGATCTCTGAACATCTGCATTTTGCTGCTGCCGTGCCCCGTCTCACACCCTCTCTCCATGGACTGATAGATTTTTTTTTATTTTTTCCCTTTTTGTGGGGGGGAAAAGGAAAATCCTTGCATCGCCTTGAGAGGAGTGAAGCTGCATTTGTGTCTCGTGTTCTGGTGGGTCTGTGTTGAGGTTAATCTTTTTTGGAAGAGAAAACATGACGTCGCCAGCAAAATTCAAAAAGGATAAGGAGATCATAGCTGAATACGACACTCAAGTGAAAGGTAGGGATGGGTTTATTTTCATTTCTTTCCTTATTGCAGCCCTGGCTGGCGATTGTAGGAGTTCGCAGTAGATGTTTGGGTGGGGAAGGGGGAAATGATTTGCAGATTGCCTGGAATTTGCAGGGCTTTTCCATAATACAGCGCTGGATCGGGCTTGCAGTGCTTTCTCTCCTCACGGCGGGGTAGGTTCCTGCTGTGGTGTTGCCGTTTTAAGGTGTCACGATAAAGGCTTTTTTTTTTTATGGAATGTAACAAATCTTTTGAGTTCTCACAGACCTGTATTTTTTTCTGCCTGCCCGCTCTGAAATCCGGGTTTGCGTTTGAAATATGAGAGCCAGTTAATTGCTTTTTAATCCTCTTTCTATCATGGGAATCTTTTAAAAATCTGTGTGGTGTCAGAAGAGCATTTTTCCACGGGTAGGAATGGGGACTGTGCTGAGGGTCCCTGTGAAGCTGTTTGTGCTAGAAAGTTCCATTATTCAGGATTTTGCTCTTGGCGAGTCTGTAATATTGCTGCCTGCTTTTTCTTGCTGTGCTCTTGAGTGTAACACCTTAAGGCTGCAGTGTGTGTGTGCACACATATATCTGTGCATACCTATATAAATGGATAAAACTAATGCATCCATGTTATTCCCATCATCATCAGGAAGGCAATAAAGAGTCAGAGGCATATTTGCAGTGATCAAGCAAGTCTTCTGCAGAATTCAGTTGGCTGTGTTTCAAGCTATCATGTGCCCTAGGTAAAAAAAAAAATCCAAAAGATGGTGAAATGTCTGCTTAGCGTTGAATTTTTTTCAAAGTTCTCAAGGTAACACTTAATTAAAAATATAATTATGGCTTGTGTGTGGCTTGATGTGTCGCTCTTAGGAAGTTATGAGATTTAGTGATTTATCTAATCGGTTAAAACTTGCTTGGTATGCTCAGAGCATGCAGGAAAGATGGCCTTTGGGCAGGGCTGATGGAGTTAAATCAATGCCATTTGAAAAGAAGGTGATTTAAATCTGAGGAGGAAACCTAGATTAAAACTGACAATTAAAATATTGTTTTGTAATTATGTACTCAGTCATTTTTTTTTTCCTACCGGGAGAGCTCCTCGCTGGTTGGAAATCATTAAACTGTGTTGTCCTGCAAGGTGCATGTCCTGCACTGACCCTAGTGCTCTGTACCTAGAAGTAGTTTTGACATTTACGTTTTCAAAATATCAACCTGAGCAAACGTAGAGCTGGTGAGGGAATTTATTTTGATTATTATCTTTTTAATTTTGGGGTTCTTAAGGCTGGGAATGGAGAAGAGTGTGTTTCTTCTTTACTGGTTCAGTTTCTATTCCTGTTTTCTAGCTGTCTTTGGAAATGGGAATTGAAGTCTATGCATAATTAGAGGCTTCCATATTCCGTTATTATTTACCCCATCAAAATGTGCCTGATACAAGCTTGTAGTCACAATATTGTGAGTTGGACACAGTGGTAAGAAACAAGGCTTTAGAATTAGCCGAGCGCATCTTCTCACCTCTCAGGTTTTTTTCATGCCTTAGGAAAGAAAAGAAATCCTTCCTTTTCATGTGGTCCCAAAAGTGAATTGTTGCAGTGGCATATAGATTTTTTTTTTTCCATATAAAATATTCCTATCTTAAATATGTGAGGCTAAGGAGACCAGAACAGTGTAAATGGATCTCGAGGAGCTGGGAGAAGAGGCTTCCTTCCTGAATTAGTGGTGAGGGCAGCTATGAGTTGATCTTGGGATGTTTGTGTCCTTACAGGTCAGCTTGGAGAAGTGGCAGTGGGAGATGCTCATCTATCTCCTGCTCTTCCCTGGAGAGGGAGGGTGTAGATGGGCCAAACAACTCAAAAGTACACGTGATATTTCACTATCAATCATCTCCTTCATCACCCAAGTTGTTTTGGAGTACAAGGGGGAGCTTCTCTTCTCCATCTGGCTTCAGCCTTTCACAAGGTGCTTTGACAGCGGGGTGTTGTCATCCCTCTGCTTTTAGATATCAAGTTTAGGGGGAGACTTTGAAGTTGCACACTCCTCTTCAAGTTCATGAAACTTACTTTACACGTCCTAGGGACGTTGGTTTGGGGCTGGAGTGGGATTTGGCTCTCTAGGGAAGCTCTCAGGAGCAGTAAGACCTCTTGCCTCTGGTTCCAGAGATGTGCTGGTCCCTCTGCCACAGCAGGAAGATGACATGCTCCTAAAACCACACTTAAATCCAAAAGGGTCCTGCTGCCTAATCGTTAAAGATACCATGGTCCAAGATAAAAATTTCTGTGTCCTGATCAAATTCCAACTTCAATGGCTGGCACAGCACAGAAATGATGTTAACTCTTGCTATGGGTTCTCTGGTGGCTTTTCTCTCGTGCTGTGAGATGGTGCCATGAAGCAGTTGCTGTGGGAGTGAGATGAATCAAGTGCTGGTGTGGCACAGAGATCATAAGGTATCATCTGTTTCTTGGATGAGAAAACTGATATTTTTTACTGGCATTTACAAACCTACTGCATTTTTTCTGCTGCATGTTGGAAACCATGTTTAGAGGCTTCATTTAAAACCATTAACCTGCAAACACATACTTAAGCACTTTAAATAATTACTAATGGAGTGATTGAGCTTTGTTTAAAAATTTAATAGTCTTAAGTTGTTCATCAAAAACTATTTAAAGAATAGCTTGGTGATGGTTAAGAGGTCATTGTTGTGCAAGATATTTGATTTTCTGTTGCTGAATGAACTTGGTGATTTTTCTCATAGGAGGTTTGTTGGAGTGACAGGGTGTTGACAAGTGAAACTTTTTGTTCTCCCGTGGCTGTGAACTGTAGGTATTTGGTGTCTTCTTCCACCAGCCAGCTCTCTGCCTCTTTTGGGTTGGAGTGAGCTCTTCTGGTGGTTTGTGTGTGCAGCTAAAGATTGAGGAGATGAACATCAGGATGAAGTGACTTCCTGGAATACCTCTGACAGATCCAGCTCGGTGTGTGGTGGCCAGGGGACATGGAGGGAGCAATGTGTTTATTCCCAGCTCCTTGTGCAGTGTGAGGACAAGCTTGGCAGTCTGTGGGCATAGGTGTGGTGTGCCCATCCAGGGAGGTTGTTGGAACCAGACTGGGCACAGCCTGGAGTTGGTCTGACCTCGTAGCTGACTGCTGGAGGTCGGGCTGCATGCCCTGCTGAGCTCCCTCCCAGCCTGGATCTAATGATCCCAAGGTCTCTAATATCTGGAGTTTCAATTACAAACTTGCTGTCTCCTGCAGAAATAAACTGACCTGCTGTGGGGGGTTAACCCTGGCTGAGCAAGAGCTGCTCACCAAGCCACTGTCACCCTCTCCCTTCCTCTCCCTCCTCCACAGAGCCAGACCCGAGACACCTACAGAGGTCAGTTCCTCAACCACTTCCCTCAGCACCTGCACTGACCTTGAGTCTGCTGCCTGTGGGTGATGCAGGCAGGGCTGGCATTGTGTTTGGTTGTGTGGCTGTGCCATCTGCACTTGCATGGTTCACCCCGTTGGCAAGGAAAGGAGAAGCTGCCAGTATTAATGGGCTCTTCTTGCAAGACTTGTTGAGAGTGCTTCTCTCTTTGAGGAAACTCTGAAATGGCTGCGTGTCATGCAGTAGGAATTCTCCTGACAAGATGACACGAGGTCAGCAGGGGAGGGAAGTGCTGCTTTGATACGTTTCTGTACCATGTGCTCACAAAGATTATGAATTCTGTGAAGCTGGAAAGTGAGATTCTGTGGTCTCCATATGGAGCCTTTGATATCTCGAGCTCATCCCCTTGTCTGGATTGTCTCTCCCAATTCCTTTGTGCAAGTTGTGGTAAGGCAGAGATAATTAATTTATGCTGTGCAGTGTGTTCCATGTGAGATTTGGATGCTGCCTATCTGTGCCCGACCAAGGACTGTCAGGATGTTTTTTGGTTTAATGTATTAAATTGGAGTGTACACTTGCTGAGGAAAGAAAAGCCAGTGATTTATCTCTTCATTCTTATTTTCTTTCTCCTCGTGTCCCACGAGAGCCTTATATTTAATTAGTTTGTAGAAAGCCTCAGTAAATAGCTTCATGGTTTGGGCTTCAGAAATTTAATACTGATTTTTTTTTGTGCAGGGAGGGTTCATAAACCACTTCTGTCCTTGAGTCCTCTCAGCAGAGGTGAAAACACATCTCTTGCAGATCTTGCAGCACAGTCCAAAAAGCGCTAGGAATATGAAAAATAGATGAGGTAATTTATAGCAGGAGTGAGAACAGCACAGAGGTGGCTGTGTGGTTATTTAGTTGAGTGTGTCTTGAGCTAAGAGAACTTCTCACAAGCCTCCCAGCTGCCATCGGATTCATGCTGCTGTGACATCTAAAACTTTCTTTTTCATCTCCCCAGAACTGCTGATAGATTTGAGAGAAGTCCCTTTTCCTCTCTGGGCTGATCCTCTGATAGTGTATTTGATCTGCTTGTGAACTTTTGGCTTAAATGCTGCTTAAAAATGCCTCAAATGCTGCATACACATCTCATCTGCATGGTCAGTCTTCTGAACACCTGGAGCGACGGTCGGCAGCTTTTAATTCTGGTATAAATTCTTAGGGGTGGTCCAGAGCTTTGCTGTGTGGAAAGTGACAAAAGTAGCCAGGACTGGGTCAGCAGCTGATTTTGGGGATGGGCAGAGTGATGTTTTTGGTGTTGATTTGAAACAAAATTGGCATTTCTGTCAACTGCTGAGAGGTTAGCACTACACAAACAGCGCTTGCCTGGGATGATGCTTTTTGTAGAACTACCTTTAGATTTTTAGATCAAGGAGCTGAAATTACTGCAGTTTTTGTGAAAATTGTGCACTCATGGATTTTCAGTCCTGTTGGGGTTCTGTAGATATGATGATTACTCTTTTGTTTTCATCTTCAGTTCAGGTCACCAAGCTGGTCTCTGCACGCCGTGACCCTCTTTGCAGATCTAGCACCACATGCCTTCAAGAGTGATGGCTCCTGGCCACTTCTCTGGGATCATCTATTTAATGCACCATATAAACAG